GGAACATGAACCGGTATGGTCACTTTAGAAAACAATTTGACAGTTTCTCATGAAGTTAAATGTAGAATTCTCATATGGACCAGAAATTCCACTTCTAAGTACATGCTCAATAGAAACTAAAATGCCCCCACACAATCTGTACCTAAATGTTTATAGTAGCACTACTCAGAACAGACAAAAAAATAGAAACAACCTCCATGACCAGCAACTAATGGATAAATAAAATCTGTAATCCTTACAAGAAAATACAACTCAGTCATTAAAAATGATTGATGTAAGCCAGGCCCCAGTGGTACACACCTATAATCCTAGCACTGGCATGACTGAAGCAGGAGAACTGTGAGTTCATGACTAGAGTGGGCTACATAGCATAGCAAGTTCAAGGCCAGTCTACTACATAGCATAACTCTGACTCAAAAAAAAAGAAGAAAAGAAAAGAAAAAAGAAAAAGATTGAAATAATGACACATGCCACAACCTGGATGAAAACAGCATTATATTGTTTTTAAAAGTTATAAAAATTCATGTACTATATGGTTCCCTTTACATAAAATGCCCAGGATAAGCAAATATACACAAACATAAAATAGATTAGTGGCTGCCAGTGGCTGGGAGAAGGAAAGTAATGCCAAAGCATACGGAGTTCTTAGAGGGGTGATGGAAATGTATAGAATTAGGCAGTAATGACCATTGTATGACCTTGCGAATCTACTAAAAACTACTGAGTTATAACCTTAAAAAGGGTAAATATTTTTAAAACCAGGTGTGGTGGTGCACACCTGTAATTCCAGTACCCTGGGAGGCTGAGGCAAGAGATTCCCAAGTTCGAGCCCATCCTGGGCAATTTAGCAAGACCCTGTCCCAAAATAAAAAATTTTTAAAAGGGTTGGAGATACAGCTCAGTGCAAGGTCCCTGGGTTCAATCTCCACTACCACAAAAAAAGGAATGTTTATGATATATAAATTACACATAAACGTAAGTATTATAACAGTATTAATTTTAATTCAAAGGATATTATTTTAATTTGAAAATGTTTGAGCTTTACTGTTGTATTTGAAAGCTATGAGCTTTAGGTGCTTTACATTTGCATACATTTCAGTAATATCATAATTAAAATAATTTGTCAATAGTTTGGTTTTGGTCCGTTATTCTAAAAGTCATACCCTAGTTTTGGCCAACAAATTCTCACCTAGAAGCCCACATCCCTGAGGCAATTAGTGAGCTTTTTTGTTATCTCTGAACAATATTAGTGACTTTAAATTAGCATAATAAAGATACAGAAGGGCAAGGGATTTAGCTCAGTGGTTCCACTGCCTGCTGCCTGCCTTGCAAGTGCAAGGTCCTGAGTTCAATCCCTGGTACCAAAAAAAAAATGATATAGAAATGGGTTTTCAGTAGTAAAATTAGTGGTTGACTAGTCAGAATCATGAGAATACAAATGGGCTCTCACCAAGGAGATCAGAGGCATTCAAGATATGGAAATGTCCTCATTGTTCTAAAGATTCCACCCTGAAATTAGCAGAGTGTAACCATTCAGGGAGACCTGTGACCTGAACTGTTTGGTATCATGACTGAGATTTGTCAAAACCTTGCAGTTCTGGTTATCTGATTCCAGCAGAAGGGGTAACAGACAATAGGGGTCAGCAAACTTTATCTGTAAAGGTGCAGAGAGTAGATATTTTACACTTAGTGGCTACACTGCCTCTGCAGCTACTTAGTTCTCCCACTGTGGTATGAAAGCAGCTGGAGATCACACATAAGCAAATGAATATGGCTGTATTCCAATAAAGCTTTATTTACAAAGGCAGGTGGTGGTGGGTCAGCGTTTGTCAATTCCTACTCTAGAACACAGTGTCTATATTATGCAAGGTATGAGGTGCCACATCCTCTGTAAGGACACAGAAGAGACTTCATCAAGCCCACAGATCATGTCCTTGCTGATACACATTTGTGCAAGAAATGTCTGAGCTTGGCTTTTGCACAATTATCTGGTAGTGAGGTTGAAGGGAGTACCTAATCTACTCCAAGCTTAAACTTTTAGGCAAGAGCTGTTATTTATCAGAAAAAAACCTAACAGTAGTATATTATTAGCACATTAACAGATCATAGAGGTACCTCATTGTTTCTTTAATGGTCCTATCATTTTGATATAGTCTATTAAAACAAGTGAGGCTGGGGATTTAGCTCAGTGGTGCCATGCCTGCCTCACAAGCACAAAGTCCTCAGTTAGATCCCTGTACCAAAAAAAAAAAGTTTTTAAAATAAATAAATAAAAATAAAACAAGTAAGTGAACATCATGTCAAACAGCAAAAACTAAAAATTAAACTTGGGACAAGAAAACCAAAGCACATCAAATACAATGCACATATAAAGTCAGTGTCAGGCTAACTGACCACTACAAGGTTCTAAAGTCCTGGGTACCAGCTCCAGTCTACAGCCCTGATGGCTTACTTCACATGAACTAAAAAGGTAACTTGCAAAAGATTAAAATCATTTGTAGCACTGGAAGGAAGCAAAAGAGTTAATCACCTAAAACCAATTACCTGTGATTTTCAAATTGATTCTTTGATTTTCTAAATTTGATTTGAATCCATCTAACATTCAAGCCAGTTGGAATTCCCCAAGCCAATCCAGCCCTAAAGCTAAGTAGATCAGATTAACAGCTACACTTAGAGGCTTCAACACTCCTACTGGGAGGGTTAACCAACCAAGGTCAATTCTGCTTATCCTTGTGGTTTAGTAGTATAATATGATAAAAAGAAGGAAAATGCTATTTTATCACCCTCTGCCAGTTGTGTTTCTTCTCTCATCAATTCATCCTTTGAGAAACATGCTGTTGACTGTATCACTGACTATTGCGTAAAGCCATCAGAGCAGAGGTTCTCAAACTTTGCTGGTTCTTAGGCACCTAAGGATGTTCAGAGGAAAAGTGCACTGGGGCCTTTCAACTTGCATTTGTAACAACTATCCCTATACAATGCTGCTTCAGATGCTCCCAAGACCACTGGGAAACATGTTCAATTGGTCGCCTAGCACACTGAATCTACAGCCACTGATCTTGGAACCTGGAAGCCTGTCCATGTGCAGGAGGGAGAAGCCAACAGACAACTCCAACTTTTCTACCAATAGCAGATAAATAAATAAGTCATATGGAGAGTTGACAGTTGACTATAAAGTACCAATAATGTAACATTCCCTCACCAAATTAAAAAATACAATCTGCCAGCATATGCTTTTTTAATTAGTTAGAAAAAAATGGCATGCATTCAACTCTACTGCACGCCTGCTATGTACCAAGTATTGTGCAAGACCCTGCATCAGTGATGATCAAAACAGACATGTCTCCTGATCTTATCAGCAATAAAGGAGCAATAAAAACTCACTGCAGGACTCTAACAAGCTGTTAGATCAGAAAGGAGAACACAGAAAGCTCCAACAGGGATATTAACTTAAACCCGTAAGTGTAAGATCTAGGAATAATGGGGTAGGAAAAATGTGCAGCAGCCGTCTACCTTGGCCCGACTAAGGCCAAAAAGGAAGGCAAACCAGGGGAATCAGGTGCTGTGTTTTAGAATTGAGAAATTAAAACCATATAATAATTCCAAGCCAAGGAACTCAAATAGAAAAGGCCTGTGACCATGGAGAACTGGACACAAGGCTTCAAAACTATACTGAAACTCAGGATTGTCCAACACAAGGTGATGAGATACTGGTGCTTGGGGTTGATTTCCACATGTGTATTCTCATTACTCTATCCCACCCCAGGCAATTCAAGCAGGCTTGTGTTCTTGAGCTGTTCTGTGTGTATTTGTATGTGTGCATGTGTAAGACAAGGACAGCCAGGTGACGCCGGGAGTGATCTAATGTCTGAGAATCAGTGCAAACATCTGACAGAAGAAAAATTGCTGCAGTTTAATGGTTTTAAAAAACATTTTGCAGGTCACATAATGGGGAATGCCTTTTGCCTCTAGCCATTCATGTCCTCATTCTGACCTTCCTCCCTGCCTTCCGTCCTGGGAAGGTCCTTTCTCAACCCTAACATCCTACCAAAAAGGTTGATCTACTTCTCCTTAGCCTGATACCAATTATAGAGATAAAGGAGAACTTAAAGAGCCAAATGCAGTGGCACAACCTGAAATTCCAGCACCTGGAGAAAAGCACTGTATCTAATTTCAGTCCCTAAGATTACCAGAGACCTTCAACAGAGCCTGAGTTGAGGAAACAGCCATCACCTACAGTCCCCCAAAACACAGACCCAATATGGTCTTGGTAGAGCCTGGTTTCCTTCCTTTAGACCAGGGCAATAAGGACTGAACTCAATACAGTGGCACAACAAGCCCTGTTAAATAATCAACTCTGGTTTTAAATAAGCAAAGCCCTCCATTTCAGCATCTGGCTCCAACACATCAAATCATGGGGAAAGATTTTCCCAAAGGCTGAGAGTTAAGCTACTTACTGACAGCTGGAAGCTTAATTACTGCTTTTCTTAGAGCATTAACTCGCACTAGCCAATGACTACACATCTTATTAGCCATGTAAATTAATGTGTCCAAAAGTCTCAAAGAAATTGGTCTAATTTAAAAATCAGGCAGTAGGACTAAAAAAAGAAAAACCCCACTGAGCCCCATCTCTCCTCTCTGGTTTTTATTGTTTTGTTTGTTTTTGTTTCTTTTTGTAGAGATAGGGACAGAACCCAGGGCTTCACACATGCTAAGCAAGTACTCTACTACTAAACTATATCCCAGCACCCTTCTGTGTTCTTTATCAAGGAGGCTTAGGTACCAGAAGACACCAAATTCCTAGAGCCTAGAGACACTCTGAGTATTTGTCCAAGGCTTCTCCACTCCTCCAAAATCTAGCACCTTCCAAGCCCTTTGGAAATGTTCACCCATGCCCAGAATCAAGTGAATCAAGTTCTGCTATGTGGACTCACCTATGGGCCACAAAATACAAAATCTCACAAAGGAAATTCTCAAGCAGTTTAGTGTGTTCTACTTACCACCACCTTTGTAGCAAACATGTACTTGTCCCGAAGCTGAAAGTCTCTCACTTCTTCAAGAATGACTTCCTGGTTTTCCCGGGACTGGAAAAAGTCTGTACTTCTGAAAACTGTGGAGTAGCCAGAGGGTTCATGCCGCTCAATATAGATGGTATTTGGTTTGTCATAGGGATCAATTCCCCTAGAATAAAAGAAAAGGGTCATTATTTCCATATTTAATCATCAGAAGTATGGAGGTTATGCCATAAGGACAATCAACTAAAATTTAGGGCCACCATGGTGCAAGCTAGAAACGATATTCTCTGTGCCTCGAATGCAACCCTTTGGTTACTCCTTGGCTCAGCCTAGAGGGAGAGGAACTGCCATTTATAACATGTTCTACGTTGCTACCGTAGTTTTGAAAGCATCCTGGGTTTAGCTCAAGGTAAATTTGGTCCCTGCCTAGAAAAGTTAAAAGGAGAAAAAGCACAAGGTGCAATGTTTCTGAATAAATGAACAATGGACCGCTTGAGGCGTCAGCAAGTTTCTGGCCTCAAGTGATGAAGAATGAAGGATAGTTTTCCCAAGGTGCTACATGCTCAGAAGTACAACACTAGAGGAAGCCACATTAGGAACCTCTGAGGCAAGTCCTGTCCCACAGATCCTGTCCCCTCTGTCCCTGGCTGACATCACTGATTCACACCATCTGGAGTCATCATCCCACCAGTGCATTTCACTCCCATGAGGCACCTTCACAAACTCTTTCTTACACACTGATGTCCTTAACTTCCTTCAGAAATGGAGGGCACATTTCCCACTGTGTTTTTGCAGAAAACAACAACCCTGTACGGAGAGGTACCCTCTGCACAACTGATACTGTCACCTAAATTCTACTCTCCTCTGAGGTCAAGCTCAAGTCCCCATCATCCCGAAAGCCATTCCTCAACGTTCCCTGTCTTCTCCCAACACCAGCAACACATCTCTGCACCATTCAACTTTAAGCCTTTTATATGAGTTTTAATTCTAACAAAAGTGTAAAACCACTCAGGCTAGGTGAATTTTGAAATAGGTATAATTATTTTACACAGTGGTGTTTCTTACATGTGTTTATTTAGCTGCCTAGTCAGAGGCCATGTCTTTTATTTCTTTTTTCCCGACTGCATCCCTAGATGAAGTGATGCTCCTGTACTGGACACATGGACCACAATTACAGATGCTAATCCAAAATGCAACTGTAGAATGCTTCAGACTACCTTGGAGAAAAAGCTCTGAACTAGTAGCCCCTCAAAAAGGGCCCTGCCAGCAGCTAGAAGGATGACAGATCTGCCCAGGCTTCCTGCCCAAGGAATAGCAAGGCTCGGCAGACCAGTCAGCATATGGGAAAAATAATTGGGAAGTCAGGCAAAGAGATTCACAGTGCACATGTAGAGTGATGACTCAGGGAGAGAAAGAGGCCTCACTTATGTCACTGCCTTTATCCAGTTCAACACATACACAAGGCTCAGAATAATGAAGGCAATCATCTCAAACTCCTTCAAAGATACACTATGAGACTGTCAAGAGCATGTTCACCAAGCCAAAAAGGAAAAAGGAAAAGAAAGAGGCAGGAAGGAGGGTAAGAAATAGAAAAAGAAGTCTCTTTAGAACAGCGCAAGACTTGACTTCTGCCCTACCATCTGGAATCTGAGCAGGGCAGCGGAGAGAGCAGCAGCCTGGGCCCTGATGTGGGAGAAACCTATTCTTCATTATCCGATGATTGGTGTGTGGGTGAGTGGTGGCATGTTCCCTTCTTTTCCACAATTAGAAGTACTGATTAAAGTACTTCCTTTAGCCTAGAGGATGTGCAAATTAAAATGAGGCTGCTGGGTATTTTTTAAAAGGCAGAGAGGAAAGAACTTTTCTTGAGATATTTTGAGATGAGCTGATCTCTTATTATTCCTTCAGAGCCAAAAGAGGAAGTCAGCACAGAGACAGAAAGAACTGTGACTCTCATCCCCATTCTCTTCTACAATCCATATCTGGACCTCCCGTGTGTGTGAGCTGCTCCACATACAAATTTTTTTTTTGCCATCTAGCTTTCTCACTGCTCAGGTTCACTCAGTTACTTCCTGCTCTCTCTGCTCTTGATTTGGAAATTCTAATCCTTGCTGTTTCTCTGAGCACAATCATTGGTGCTCACCTGCCTCACCAATAACCCTTCAAGGATGCCACACAGGGCATCCTTGAATCCCTTCCCCATAGGTCTTCTGCTGTCTTGTCTTCCCAATCTCCATATCTAGGCAGTACAAATTACTGGCTTTCTTCACACCCACTACTCCCAGGTTGCCAAGCACGGTTGAACAAACACATGTTATTGTTCTCAGAGAGATCAGATTATACTCTCACTTATTATGGGGAATCTTACAGGAAAAATCCCCAACATAACCTGAAATCCCAATATAAGACATATAACTACGTAAAATGTAAGAGAACAATCCCTTCTCCTAAGATACCTGTCATGCTTTCAGAAAGTAAAATATACACATTCCTAAACTCAAATTTCCTTTACATAGTAGTCCTATTGGTTTGCCCACTTAACATTTAGTCCCTTAAACTAATAAAAGATCAATCTGTCCTTCTAAATTCAAATAAAGCAAAGGAAATTTATAGTAGTATTCCTTGGTGGAAGTTGTCTTTAGATGACACTATGCTTATAATTTTATTAGGACCCTAAAATTGTCTGCCCAAAGAAAGTGACAGAAAGGTCAGAAACAGCCACTTTCTATTACAAAGGACATCTACAGGAGCCAGAAGATGCTGCAGGGCTCCTCCCTTGACCCCTGCACTTTAACATCCTCAATTACCAAAGAAATAATACCAACTTGAATTCATTCAGCTTGAAACACAGTGCTAAAAGAAGCACAGACACGATCTACATCTTGTTGGGTCATTATATTTAATATGGACTAACATTACATGTAAAAGTCAAGACAAATGAAAACCTGACACATACGAACACACACACACACCTTGTCTTATATCACAGCCAAAGGGCTATGTAAAGAGCTTCTGAAAATCAATACTAAAAAGACTAAAAATCAGATTTAAAAAGAGAAAAGGCCATGATCAGATATGCCATAAAAAATAAGAATGACCCTTAAGCAGGGTAAAAGATGTTTAAAATCATTCATAAGAAGAAGAATGCTAATTAAGGCTGCAATAAGACAATATTTCTTACCTAATAGCTATGGAGAAAGTCAACATGACTTAGTGCAAATATGACACTTTCCAAAGAAAATCTGGCAATGTCTACCAAAGTTACAGTTTCACTAAGGATAAATCAGTACAAAAACTAACATAAGTCCCTGCCTTGGGGGGCTTTCATTCTACTGAAGAAAGTTAATTAATGTGCATAATAACTGTATACTATAATGTAATAAAGTACTATATAAAAACAGCACACAGTATAGTGGAAATAATAGGGTAATAGTTGCACTTTCAAACAGAATCCTTAGTAATGTAATTCAAACTACTATGAGGCATCTCCTCACTCACATCAAGAATAGCTATTACCAAAAGGACAAGAGACAGTAGAGTGTAGAGAAAGTTGTGGAGAAAAGAGAGCTCTGGTACCCTATGGAAATGTAGACTGTTATGCAGTCACCATGGAAAACAGTAAGGAGGATCCAACAAAAAGTTAAAAATTGAACAAGCATTTGTCTTCTGGGTATATCCCCCAAAGGAAATAAAACCACCCCCTTCTAAAGATATCTGCACTCCCATGATTATTGCAGCATTATTCACAATGGCCAAGATATGGAAACAACCTTTATATCCATCAACCAAGAAATGGACAAAGAAACCCTGGTATATAGATGTAGTGAAATACTATTCAACCTTTAAAAAAGAAGACATTTGCAACAACATGGACAGCCCTGTAAGATGGTATGCTAAGGAAACAAGCCAGACATAGAGAGAAAAACATTGTATGTTCTCAATTACATATAAAACAAAAAATATATACAGAAATAAAAAATAAGACAGGGTGAGAGTGGGAGGGACAGGAGATACAGATTAAAGGATGCAAGTTACCAGATATGCAGAGTGCGTAAGTCTAGTCCTCCTACTAATGTACAACATGAGGTCTATACTCAATAATAGTGTATTGTACTTGGAATTTCCCCTAAATGTGTACACTATAGCTACTCTTGTCATACAAACAAAACATAAGGGTAATTATGTGAGTTGATGGATATGTTCATTTGCTTCACTATACTATCATTATTAATTACATGTATAATTTCATAGCATCATACTGTATACTTTAAATATGCACAATAAAATTTAAGTAAACAAATACAATCATTTGAGTAGGCTTCATTTAGAAGGAGTTATTTGAGCAAAGACTTAAGGAGCTAATGGAATAAGCAGTACATATATACTGGTAAAAGCAACCTATGCAGAGAAAACAGCAAGTGTAAAGGCCTAGGGTCCTGTGGAAAAGGATACCTGATATTTCATCTAAAAAAGATAAAGATGGGGCTGGGGATTTGGCTCAGTGGTTTCGCCGCCTGCTGTGCAAGCGCAAGGACCTGAGTTCAATTCCCGGTACCAAAAAAAACAAAATAAACAAACAAAAAGATAAAGATGATTTGAAAGGTTCTAAGGAGAACAAAAATAAGACCTGACCTGTTTGGGTTTTTTTGCTTTGTTTTTGAGGCAGAGTCTCCCTTTGTAGTTCACGCTGACCCTGAACTCATTATGTATCCCAGGCTGGCCTCAATCAAACTCATGGTGATCCTCCTGCCTCAGCCTCCCAAGTGCTGGGATTACAGGTGTGCACCACCATGCCTGGCTCCTGACCTGTTCTTAATAGGAATGATCTTTCCATGTACTGAGAAATGATTATAGAAGGATGAAAATAAAGGCAGAAAGACCACTTGGGAGACTCATGAGGAAAGCTGTAGTGAGTGGTGAATTGTGGATACATGCTAGTGGTAGAGCCACAGGATCTCCGGACAGATTGAGGGTGAAGCATGAAACAAATGTAGAATCAACAATAACTGGAAAGTTCTTGGCCTAATCAACTAGAAACTGAACCAGGGAAGGTAATGCAGGAAAGTGGTTTGGGACAGTGAGGATCAAAAGTCAATTTGGGTAGCATCAGATCTGTGGTGTCCATTAGTTACACATGTGAATGGGTTCCTGAACAGTTACATAATCCACTAACCTCTCAGCTTATTCCTAGAAATCTGCACCACACATGTCCTGCATACAAACACATGTGCTCAAGCTCATACACTGTGCAACTGTCACAGCACATGGTGAGAAGCAACCATGACTAGGAACAATTATACTTCTTCATGTATATCCTGTCTCTTTCACCCCCTTCCTCAAAACCTACAATGGCTTCCCAGTGCTCTTAGAATTTGGTCCAAGGTCCTTTTTGAAGCACTGCAGATTCTGATCCCAATCTCCCTTTTTAAAGGGAGTTCCTGTGTGGAACTTCTGCTCTCCACCTACACATGCTACCTCCCTTCTGCTGGGCAAAATCTGGATCAGGAGAAAGCTCCTCCGGGACGCTGTCCTGGAGCATCCTGGCAGGAAGACAGAGTCCATCCCCCAGGCTCTCGTCTTGTCTGTTAGTGCTGTCCTTGTTGTACCGAGTGTGTTATGAACATGAAATGTCTTTTCTTACTTTTCAACTGCATTTTTCTTAATAACTATATCCATAAATTATTCAACTTCTTATACCCTAAAGTATCTTGGAGGTTTTATACTTAACAAAAGACGTTGAAAAAAAAGTTATGAATGAATAAATGCCTGCACAAGAAACTCCCATTATGATGCTCGACAGATGAAGGTCTTTAGGAACTGTATTACACGCAAGAGCCAAGATTCCCCTAGGTTCCCCGATGGAGGGAAAAAAGCAAAGCCCTATAACTCCTCTTACAAATAATCTTTTCTCATTGCCCCTAGTGAGTACATTATACTTGCAGCTCTAATTCTCAAGGTTGGAAAATTTATTTTCTGAGCAAATGTTGCATATTTCAAGTTAGTATTGAAGATCTGTCTATCACAAAGGAGCTAGAAGAACTGGAGAGGGGGGCTTACGTGAGTCAAGTTTTCCTAGACAACACAACTTACCAAGTAAAGGACTTCACATGCTCCTGAATCATGATCCAAGTCTGGCCAAAATCATCAGACTTCCATAGCTGCAAGGACCAAGACAACAAGAAGGGGACACAACATGAGAACTGTGTACAATCTGAAAGGCATCATTGTCCAACGCCCACTGATATCCTGTCCTCCACAGCACACTGTCTGTGAGATAAGCACTCAGATCACCAAAGCCAGCTCAGGAACTCACAGCAAACAAGAACACAGAGGGCAGGACAGGACTGCACCTTTGCCTTTCACTCTAGTCACGAGGCTTTCAGCAGCAACCAGAAGGAAAAATGAGTGTGGCTCGTCCTCTACTTATATTGTCAGAAATGATATTTTACTCAAAAGTAACTGGGAAATAGTGTCCTGAAAAATTTGTAATAGACAGTAGCATTATTCACAAAACCCAAAAGGTAGAACCAATCAACGGGCCCATCACAGGGTAAATTAATGAGTAAAAGGTGACCCATGCGTACAATGGACGGTCATTCAGCCTTAAGGAAGGACACTCTGACACATGCTGCTGTGCACATGAACCCTGAAGGTATTATGTGTCAGTCACAAAAAGACAAATTGTGTACAATCCCACTTGAGGTACCTAGGGTAGTCAAAATTATAGACAGAATGTAGAACGGTAGTTAATAGGGCCTGGAGGGAGGAAGAAGGGGAAGGTAAGCGTTTAACGGGCACAGAGTTTTAGTTTTCCAAAATGAAAAGTTTTGGAGATGGGTGCTGGTAATGTTGCACCAGAATATGAATGTACTTAAACCACTGAACTCTGTACTTTAAATGGTTAAGACAGTAAATTTTACTTTATATGTATTTCACCACAATAAAAAATAAGGAAGAAGAATAAAAACCATGGGCAGGGGGATAGGTTGGTGGTAGGGCACTTGCCTAGCATGTATGAACCCCTGGAATTAATACCTGGCACTAAAACAAAAATAAAAATTATAATGAGCCTTGGTCATTAAAGCTGTCTACCAAGGACACTGGCTAAGTGCAGAATACCAAAGGGAATAAACTGAATGTACAGACTTGGCCATGAGTAATTAACTTGCTAATCTTTGCCAAAGTCCCTCAACCTCCACAGACGAGACCCAAGGGTTCCTTTGGCCCTTACAAACATGAGACCAAAAATAACGATAATCTACCTCCACTGGTAAACTGACCCAGCCCATATAAGCTTAGGTTACTCCCTAAGGCAAGCAAAGGTAAACAGATCCGTGTTTTAGTCAAACAACTTGTGAAGAAAAAGAAGCATTTCAAGGCTCTTCTCAACAAAAACATTCAGGACTCCGTTAATCCCATCACACAGGATTTACAGGTTTCACAGACTTATGCCCGACCAATACTCTTGACATGGCAAGTTTCGACCTTGAGATATAAATCTACTCGGGCTCTCTCTTCACTTGTCAGCTTTCCTTCATACCTGAATTCAAGGAAGAAAATAAACTCATTTCTATTATACACACATGCATCCACACTTACACAAAGGAAGAATATCAAAGTTATTCATAACTTCAAATAAATGGTAGGCAAAAATGTTTAAGGCAGGGGCTGGAGGGATATAACTTAATGATAGAGCACTTGTCTAACATACCTAAGGCCCTGGGTTCCATCCTTAGTACCATAAAAAAGAAAGAAAAGTTTAAAAACAAGAGGTCACAGAAGAGCTCCAGACAAGAATGCTCTATGTGACTCTCTCTGATTAAATCCTAAGGCCTTGACTTAGCCCACAAGCTAACAAAGGTGCATCTGCCTGGGGAAGGCATGATGTTGAACTCACAGGGCCAGCCAAGTGCTGGGTATTGCATGCTGGCTGGGACACAGGCACAGAGGGCCAGGGGGATATACTTTCCTTTAGCTGTGGTAAGTCAAACAGTAGCTACAAAGGCTAAGCCTGAGAGAGGAGGGAGGGAAGATGCAGGAGGCAAGGTCACTCAAAGGACACGATCCACCCATGCACAGTGGAATCACAGGAACTGCACACGACTGTGCTCTCTTACCTGTTTGTTGGGGTGAGACCTGTCGAAACCCAGAAGAAGGTTGGAGGCTTTACTATGGAGGAGGAGATCAGCAGCCCGGAATGGGATGGAAAAGCCATGGATGGTGTTGCAAAAGTCAAATGTGATCCAAAGATACTGGGCATAAGTGTCTGCAAAGATGTACTGCAAGAGAAATCAGATAAGCTCAGAGCAGGGCTTGGTCGGAGCCACTCCACACTTCCCCAAGTGCAAGCACATGAATGTGGGAAGGTAGGGTGCCAGGCCTTAGCAGGCTTCCATAATGGCTTTCTCCCTATCTCTTGGCAACAAAAAGATGCTGGCCACACCAACAGGCTCAGTGAGGGAAGGGATGCAGTGACAGCCCGAGGAAAGCCACTCACTGAGCAGTTTAATCAGGTAATGAAGCTGGTCAAGTCTTTCTATTTTTTTCTTGCAACTGACTTAGCCGTTCTCACTCTCAGGCAGGTCATGTGGTCACAATCAGAAGGTGGCTGCAGGCAGCTAGGACAGAGATGTCCTGGTCCTCAGATGGGCTAAACACACTCAAGACTGCCCTCTCTCCTTGTGTCCTCTGAGTAGCCACAAGAATCCTTTCCAAAAAATTCTTAAAATTGCACCCAATGAAGAGATGAGCTGCTTTACTACACCAGGTGACCAGGCAGCTCTGGGAAACAACAGAGCTAGCAGACACACTCTGCGGCACAGCAGGAAGCAGCTCTGGTGAGCAGGGGCCTCATCTTATTTTGCTTCTGTATGGGCCAGTGACTTAGAACAAGTTTGGCTACATAGAGGCTTCCTCAAGGGTTCTCTAGGGGCAGGATCAAGGCATTTCAATTTAACAGGTGTGTACTAAAAGCCCACCACGGGCCAGACATTGGGGATGCCACCATGGAAAGCCAGGATCCTTTCCCTCAGCAGCTGGCAGCCTAATGTGAAAGACAGGCATGTTTTGAGTGCATAACCATATTCCAATGTTAAATGAGAATCCACAGGCAGAGTCCTAGGACAACCTATCCAGCTTGAGATATCAGAAATGACTCTGTGGAAGAAATGGGTGCTGAAGGGCAGGCAAGACTTCCACGGGGAAAGAACATTCCATATCTAGGGCAGCATAAGTTTGGTCAAAAAGGAGGGGAATAAAACTATCCTGTGGGTTTGCAGATAGCTTTGAGGGCCTGAGGAAATGATAGGAAAACAGAGATCCTGGGAGGCCTGGAGTGCACTAGAGATGACTGGGGCTAGGCCTGTTCCCAGAAGAACCAGAGCAGCCCAGGGGACAAGGCTATGAATCAGAAAGGAGGGCAACAGGGCCCCAACTCCACAACCAGTCATTCATATCCATAAGTCAACCCATCTGAGAGAATTAACCCAAGGACACTTCTCCTAATTGACAAAACCTGACCCTGCTGAAGCTCTGGCTCTAAATCCATTCAGCACTAAGCCTGGGCCTGGACAAATACTTAACACTGTTCCCATATTGCTTTCATCTGTTACTCCTTCCCATTTATTCACTCTCTCCCCAAATCCAGACCTTAAACTTTCCAGGGCCCATTTTGTGCATTCTTTCTCTTGTGTTTCTTCTCTAGCATTTAATGTAAATCTCCACACTCTGTAGAAGCCTAATTAAATCTAACAAAAAGTAGTAAATGTTTTGAAAGCAAAAAACTATTCTAAGCAAATGCAAGGTAATAAAAACAATTATGATCCTTGGAGAATCATCATAATTTTTATCATGAAAGTATTCCCTAGAAATACTCTCTCTTTTTTGCTCCCAAACCATCTTGATAACTGAGGAAGGGAGGATATTCTCAGTTCAAAGAAAGATTTCTCCAGGAATCCATTTCATGACTTGCTGCAATCTCTCATTTGTGAATCAAAAAAAAGTTATGCATCCAGTTATAGAACTTATTATTGTGATAATAATATGATAGAAGATAAAATTATTATGATAGAAGATACAAATTTGGGGGGAGCATGGTTACTATGTCCCAGGCACCAAGCTAAAAGTTTTGCATACCTTGTCTCATTTAGTCTACTTGGTACTCACAGTAACTCAATGTTTTGGGCAGTGTTGTTACACCCCCTTTTAATAATGGCAACACTGAAGCTTTGAGCACATAACTGCTCCAGATGACGCTGGAGCAGGAAGCATTTACATCCATATCTAGCTAGGGCAGAGCCCATCTCTGAGCAGTCCATCAATGTGTGTCTTTCTTCCCAAAGGCAGCATTTGCTGAACTTAATTCAGAGGTTTCACATTGTACTATTTATTCTTATGTTTCCTATCCTAACCCACTATTATGCTTTTACCAGAAGCTTTCTCTTCTCTCACCTTCTGCAGGGCTCTTCCATGCCAATTCCCAACCTCCCACCCCAGCCATTTCAGACCTTGATTCTTCTTCACAAGTTCCTCTACCTTCATTCACCCTCTACCCTCAAATAATCTCATGTCTCCTCCATCCTTTACTAATTTGGGTTATCCTTCCACACAGCTGCAACTACTGCCTCAGGAACAATCACTGCATGCCTGCTATCATTTGGATGTGGTTTATTCACCATAGGCTCATACATCAGAAGCTTGGTCCTCAGTGAGACATGTTAAGAGGGGTGGAACCTTTAAGAGGTGGGGCCTCATGCAAAGCAATTGGGTCATTCAGGGTGCTGCTCACAGAAGGAACTATGGTAATCCTTTCCTCTCCACACTCTGGGCTTCCTGTTGCACCTCTCACACACATTTTCATCATAAGTCCATCCATCATGACTGTATTCAGCCAACGGAGCCTGCATCAGAGGCCAAATTGATGAAGCCACTCTAAGATTTTCAGCCACCAAAACTATATGCAAAATAAAACCTCTCTTCTTTATAAAGTATCCAGTCTCAGGTATTTATTGTAGTGACAGAAAACAGCCTAATACAATGACTTTCATAGCTATAGGCTAACACTGACTTCTCACTGAGATTCTATTTTCATTACTTTTGTTACATTCTCAGCCATCTCCACTTGGATAGATCAGGATATTCTACTGGGTTTAAAGCTGAATTCTTCAACACCTTCCCACCAAAATCCAATTCTCTCTTCCCATGCCCCAGGTTCCAAACATGCTATCTCCCAGCCTCATGACTCAGTCAGTCCTGGATTTTGACTACATCTTCTCCCTTTAGTTTCCATTTTCAAGTAGCTGCCTACCCATTAAGTATTAAGTATTTTTCAAAATCTGTCTTCCTTCCTATTCCCAGTGCTACTTGTGTGGTCTGTGTCCCTGTTAGAGACCGTGAGCAAACAGGAGGCAGGCATGGGGTTTTATTCATCCTCGCAACTTCTAGGACTAGCAAGCAGTGAAATACGTGGAAGGGGCTAGGAGGTTTGAGTGAGCAACTGAGCAACTTCATTGCTCCAGTGGTTCCCTTTCCATGCTCTTTTCTAATCTTTCCCTTCTAATCCATCAGCATATTTCCAGGAGACATGCTTTCCTAAAAGACACCAGTTACTTCCCTACTCAAAGATTCTTCCATGGCTTCCCACAGTTCTCAAAGTAAAAGAGAATTCTCGCCATCTCAAAAGGGGGCCAGGTAGATATTGTAGAGTAGCTCAGGGCAAACCTTCTATCCCTGAGAAGCAATCTCCTGACTGTCCTGCATGGAAACCACATGCAGACACTGTTAGTATTGTGTGCTAGACGGCTTCCACCAACTCTACTCCACCTACTGACATAATGTGTCTATCCTAGAAGCTCCATTTCTAATCCAAAACACCCCATGAAGATCGTACTCCTTTGATCCAACCTCCCTTAGTCCTCCAGCTCTATTTAGCAACAAGTTCCATTCATCGTGGACACATGGTGCACCTTGCTGTTACGTGACACATCACACAAACACATGGTAGGAAAGCATAGATTGTCCCACACTGCTAAGTCCCAGTGCGCCTGGCTGTCAAGTTCACTGGCAGCCAACCCCACAGGTCTGCGAACAGTGCTGCTCTGCAGATGCATCCTAAACTGTGTGATCTCAGGAACATCTTCACCCCTCCCCACTTCTCCAGCCCTGTTTGCAAGCACTTAATATTCCAGAGGAGCTACCTTCTTTTCTTCTGAAAACACAAACACTGTACCGCTGCAAAGATAACAAACTGAGCTGTAAAATGTATCCACATGTTATCAACCCAAGTGACTGTCTCCAGTTTTGAGGGCAGAAACCAAGAGTACAGTGAGTAGGGGGAAGGGTGAAGCAGCCAATGAGGGAAGAAAGGGAAACAGAACTGTTTACAGCTTTACCTAAGGCCAATCTCTGCCTGGGAAATGGCAGGCTCAGTTCTCACTTCTGCTAAGGCTGAGGCTGTGAAGCCCCACTGCACTTCAGTGGTCCTTCTCAAAGAAGCCAGAATCAGTTAGACGCTGCCTGACCCATAATGGAACAGCCAGGTGGCAGGACCTGCATATGGGTTCAGGGAGCAGCACATAGGGGACTAAGAAGAGGAAGTGGGACTGCAGGCTCTGCAAAAACAGACCTGAACACTCAGGTGCCCCCCAACCACTCCATCTGCATCAAAAGGCAAAGCCACAGACTGGAGCTGGCTGCCTCCTCACACCTTCTTTCCTCTTCCACAGGCACATGTTCCCTTCATGCTGCCCTTCTCCCTGACATCTTAACCCTCCAGAGGAGCTGCTGACATTAGCTTCAAGTGCTGACAGCCCCTGGGACACTTTTACACACGTGACTTGCGGGGGCCTAACACCCTGCTGTTGACAGGGCGGCACCCAGCCCTGTGTGGTTTGTCCGGAAATGGCAGGTCTGGTGAGGCAATTTGCTTTCCATAGGACAAAGGTAAAAGTCACAAAAGCAATCAGCATAATAAGAATCATTACTTCCTTCCTGAGATGTCTCAGGAGGGTAACAGCTTTCTCTGGGAAACCAGAAAGGCTCTAGCAAAGTCTGCTTCCCTGGCCCAGCCTGCTCCAGGCCTCAGGTCCAGCAGTATGCGGTTCTCTAAGAAGGCAGCATCTCTGTTCTCCTAACTCCCCATCCCCTCCAATTGTAAAGTGCAGCCAACATACCCACAAGTAAGCTAAAGTGCATCATTCCACATGGCAGGCGGCACTCACGCTGTACATGTGTGGCACGTGTGGCCCAATCTCACCATGCAACACCTCAACTTCTTCTATTGCAATCATCCCAGGGTTCTTCTGCCCTCTGGCGCCAAGGCCATGGCCCCTGTTCAGCACTCTGCAGACCTAATGCTCCAAAATTCCCTGATCCTCTCCCTGCACCAAACCTCCTCTGTGGCTCCCAAGCATCATTCTTTCTCCCTTTGACTCTTCAGACTCAAGGTGTGAGCAGCTAGTTGTTCACCACAACACACAACTAGCATGAAGGAAGATGTAAGACACTTGTAGGCATCTGTGCCCTGAAGGTGGGAGGAGCCGGATGGAGCTGAAAAGGGACAGTGAACAATAGGGCAGTTTCAAGGCTGTGGCTACTGCCACAGTTAGAGAGACAATGTAGAAATCTAACAGTAATAACAAAGATTAAACACGGCCCAATAAAGTAAGCAATCCAAGTGTCATTTGCTTCTTGCCAAGGATGTATGTGGCACAACCAGGAACTGGGCCCTAAAGAGAGCTCCTCCCCTTTCAGGAGTCCAAAGGAAAATGTGCAGGGAAACCAGCTACCTCTGGAGCCCCTAAGAACAGGCCTGACAAGGCACAGGGAGGGGAAGGTCAGGGAGGGGCACCAAGGCAAGCTGTCCAGCCCACGGAGCCAGCACCCTCCACTGCTTTCTCTTCGCTTTTCATCTCAGGGGAAAACTGCTCACTCGCCCTGCAGTTAGGTAAGAGAGGGGAGTCTGCATCTAACTGTAGCTTCATTCTGAGATCATTAGGCAGGGCTGATATGTAACCAGTAATGACTATTCAGTTATTATTCTTTTAATTGATCTGTACCAGCTGACAAATAGCTGCTGCTGGGGAAATCACAGAGCGGCTCCTCCTGAAGGCCCAAAGGCAGGACCCCCTACCCCAGAACCTCCTGCCAATTTAGCAACTGAAAGATTAATGCCTGGCCCACCAGGGGAGCCTACTGGACCCAGCTCCCTACAGACAGTGTCTGTTCCAATTGGTCAAGGACCCAGCCACACCAGTTGCTAAATATTTTGAATCCAGCCCCTGCTGGGAGGTCACAGGCAACCTGAGAAGCCCTGGAAGAAGGACCTTGTGGGCCTCACTCATAGAGCCCATTCTGGGTAAGGAGAAAGCAGCAGCTCCCCTTACCTTGGAAAGCTTCTACTACTAACAAGTGTTTCTACAAAGGGTCTTTCCTTGGAAGAAACCATTTGGCCCTAGAAATAAGTGAGGCAACATAAGAGAGAGAGAAAGCAATCAAACACAACTCTCAGAGCTAAGAGCTACCAGACCAACAGGAAAGCCTTGCACACTGCTGGGTTCCTACCCTCCCTTCTCCATCTGCCTGGAGGTCCAGTGTCAAAGCCTCCTTGAGTCCAACTTCCTGGGGGTTCTGACCCAAGAAACAAAGCCTCCAGGAATGCCACCTGGGAAAACAAAGCAGGAGGCACAGTCATATCCGCTGCCTTGGTTTTCTTTTCTATATTTATATAGGTTCAGAGAAGGGGAAAGAGGAATGCACAAACACACTCACGTTTGCATGCATCCATGCACACACACCCATGCTGCGATGCCAACAACCAAGAGTTCAGCAGCTGCTCTTGGAAACTGTGAATCAGACTGCCATGCAAGTCCCGGAGTAGCTGGGCAACATTTCTGCCATAAGTGAGTTGGGCAATTTATTGGTTGGCAGATTTTCTGTGATTTAACCTGACCTTGTTTGTCTGGAAATCCTGCCTGACCAGTACTTGCCTGCCTGATTATGCATAGACACCCACCCTGAGAACTGTACTCTGTCACAATCTCCCAGGTTAACAGAAACACAGTTGCTGGCTACCAATCATGCTGCAAAGACCATGAAGGGCACCATCTCCCAGCGCCTATTCAGAGCAGCAGGGAGCATACAGTCCTGTGAGGTCCAGACTGTCTGATCAGCAGCTTACTTACCCGTTTGTTGTCTGCAGGACTGTGGTAGAACTGGGCAATCACAGCTTCACTGGTATTTCCCATGCCAAAGTTCAACTTCTCTGAAATCTTACTGAATGATTTTCCATAGTCATAAGACACGTACACCTGGAATACAGAGAAGGAGAAGAAGGGGAAAAGAGTTGGTTGAGGAATCAGGCAAAGAAACCTTCACTGTTCCTCCTCTTCCCAGGATCCCACTCTGGATCCTGGATATAGCTTTCACTGGGTCCCTGACAACATGAATTACCAATATTACCAGAGAGCTCAAAAAAGGGAAGCAGAGTACCTGTGTATCTGTCCCCACGCTTGTGGGAGGCAGAAAGCACAGAAGCGCTGCAGCCACCTCTGCCAGTATTGTGCTGGCCTCTTTTCTGAGCCAAAACTAAGACCCTGAAGCAGAGAACAAACACAGATACAACGATAACATCCCCATCATGGCCAGGTTAAGTGTTTAACAAATTATATCCAGAGACAGTGAGAATGTGTTTCTCTGAAGAGTAAAAGGTTGGAAATTTGTTTTGCCATCTGTGGAAATGACTCCAGAAGGGCAATCTTATCCTGCATACCTCTCCTGGGAGGTTCACTTCTTAGAGCATCCTATGCTCAGAGGAAGAATACTCTCATGGGCTTCCATGAGATGAAAGAGTCCTAAGTGATTAAATATGCACAGAAGTGTAGCTTACGGTAGAGAGCTTGCCTAGCATGCACAAGGCCCTGGGTTACATCCCCAGCATTGAGAAAAATAATCAGTACCAGAATTCCCTTTTTCACTAGTTTCTTTGTGATTCTGTGGCATGGGAGATGATAGCAACAGCAGCAGGATCCATGTCCAGGCTAACAAAATTTGCTTCTCCCCTGCTTCCTGGTTTCTGGCAATGTAGTAACCACACTGATAAAATGAAGAAGACTCATCATTCACTGAGTGCTTACTATGTGCAGAGACAGTACTAACCTCTTCCAGTGAAAGAGCTCAGGGAACTCTCACAATAATCCTATGTGGCGAATGTAACTGTTAAAATCATTTTACAAAGAAGACAAACAAGGGCTCATGAGATTAGGTACTTGCCACAGTCATAACATAGAAAGTAAGCAGCAGACTGGGATCTTGACTCTGGCTGCCTGCCTTCAAAGCCAGTGATCTCAAAGCCATTATCATCTCAACTCATGGAGGGCAGCATGGAAGTTGTCCAATAATATAGACCTAGATTTGACCATCTATGAGACATGAAAAGTAATTAATATAATCAAATGCCTAAAAAACAAACCTGATAGATGACTATAATAGTGATAATCATAACTTAGTCATTTTTCAAATGATGTATGGGAAAGAGAATCAAGGAACATACTAAAGAAGAATGTCAGGTGACTCCCAAGAGGAGAATTACTGGACTATTCCCAAAAAGTATATGGCCAACACTTCCCATTTGAATCCATAGCAAATATGCCTTGAGAGTTTCACAAGAGCCAGGAACTGTGCTAGACACCAGAAGTCCAAATATAAAGACTAATGAAAGATATGGACATTGGCATGTAAACATGTGAATGTCTGATGACTGCACTGGGTTAACAATGAAAGACTTTGGAGCTGTACACAAGAGAGCTCATGAGGATCATTAACATTTAATAGAAGTCAAGGTTAGAAGCAGCAAAGACAGAGGCTCTGCCTTTTTCTAGGTCACCGTGAAAGGAACTTCTAGGAACCCACGGCCTACATTCCCAAAGATCAAAAACACACAGCAAGGAGCTCCCACAAAAGCAGCTTCCGGAATTCAGCAGGTTGAGAGTTCACAGATAATCTGGGTGGGTAAAAAGACAAAGTGGGACTTTCTCACTTCCATTTCCCAGGCCAAGAATGGACACCAAGTCCCAGGTAGGCTCAGAAGTTGTGCGTAGCAAACTAGCTGGCTTCCCAAATTGAGAACTAAGGCCCTTCCTGGCTCCAAAATCTCATGACTTGATAATCTACTATGACTTAGTTCCTGAGAGGCACAAATGTGATAATGTGTTCACACAGGGTAGAATTTTTCACTATTCAATACTCTTGTATTATCATTATTTCTCTTCCTCTTTAAAAATCCCACAAGTTAGTTTTACCTTCAGGGCACCTGGAACATACCAGGTAGTCAACAAGGACTTCAGCAAAGAATAAGTATGATTATAAACCAAAGAACTAGTAAATGAATGTGTTAAATAAATTAACAAAAAAGTGAACTAAATGAATCAGTGAGTGAAAGAGAATACAGTTGTTCTTCCATATCCTCAGGGGGCTTAGTTTCAGGACCCCACGGATTCTAAACTCTGTGGATGATCAAGTTCCTTATATAAAACAGAGTAGTATTTGCATATAACCTGCCCACATCTTCTATGCATTCTCAATCATCTCTAGAGTACTTATAATACCTAAGACAATGTAAATGCTATGTAAATAGTTGTCACACACAAGACAAGTGTGTACATGTGCAGTACAGATGCAATTGTTTTCCTACCACTTTCAATTTCCAGGTGGCAGAACCATAAATGCAGACCCCACAGATATGGAGGGCTGACTATCATTATTTCCATTTAAGAGAAAACAAAAACTAAGACTCTTAGACGAGAATGACTAACCAGGGTCCTATTGCTAGGAGGTTAAAAAAAAATTATGTCACTTTTTTCCAATTCCAATCTAGTCATCTTTTCAGAATGCAAGTCACCTACTTGGCGAATGTTCTCTTCTCTGTACTTACATTCCACTGTACACCAAATGCACAGTCCTAGCACTGGAAGAAGTACTGGCCAGCAAGGAAGAAAAGACCTACTCCAGCAAAGTACAGAGCCTTTCCTGGATTCTCAGCCACTATTCCCACTGTGTACTCGGAGGTGAAACCATTCTCACTACCAAAAAGCTCTTTCTTATTTCTCACCAGGAAATAAAACCCATCTCTTGAGTCTTTCACTTTTTAAAGGTTAAGAGTAAGTACAGACCAATCATGGGGCAGCACGCCTATAATTCCAGCTACTTGGCAGTTTAAAGCTAGCCTAGGCAACTTAGCAAAGTCCTGTCTCAAAAACAAAAAGGGCTCCAGCTGTAGCTCAGTGGTAGAACAGCCCTGGATTTGATCCCTAGTACTGAGGAAATGGGTGGGGCTAAGTACATAAGGGTCCATCTTGTACCTGAAAGCAATTACAGGTTGCTCATCAACTAGCCTAGTCTTCTCCAGGTTGAACAATTCCAACATTGTATTTCTGTCCATCCCCATAATTCTAATTTCTATTTGATTGACACAGACCATAAGCACCATAGGGCAAACACCAGGCTCAGGGCTGGAGCAGTTATCCACTTGTCTCTACCCAGAACAGCACACAAAAGGCCTTGACCATGCTAAGTTAAACTTCAGCAGGCTGATGGCTTTGTGGACTTCACACTGCACCCACAAATATGAGTTACACTCAGGTTATCTTTGTTCACAGCAGCAAGATACTGCTGACTCACTGTCCACTGTCATCTTCAGGTAAACTGGGGCTGACACCCCATACGTACTCCCTCTTCTGGTGCTTCCACAGTTTGTTTCCATCCAGACACAGATTTCTGCACTAATTAGTCCTCTCTGACCTCAATATGACACCGTTCCCTGTCCAACAAAATTTAACGTGGGAAGAGTTACTAAGCTGCCCATAGTTGCTAGTTACATCATTTTCTTTCCTACAATGATGGTCCTCTGAAGTGAATAGTTTAAAATTATTTTCCTTGTACTTTAACACTATATAATGATAATGGGGCGGGGGGGGACTAAAATGTACAGAGAACAGCTCCACATCTGGCACGATTCCTAGTCTTGTTTAGCACTGCTTCTCAAAATTTAATGTGCTTACAAATTACCACCCAGCAGGACACTGGCCAAATGTAGATTCTGATTCAAAAGGTCTGGGTGGGACCTGAGATTATGTATTTCTAAACAGCTCCCAGAACATCCTCATATGGCTGATTCACACAACACACTATTGGTAGCAAGGTTTTTCAAGTACTGTCTTAGTGACAAAATGCTCTAGTTTGAACCTTGAAAGTCTCCCAAGACCCATGTGTTAAAGGCTTGGTAATGTGAGGGGGAGCTGGTGGATTTTTAAGGGACAGGCCCCCATGGGAAGTCTTTAGATCACTGTGGGTATGTCCTTGAGGGGATTCCAAGGCCCTGGTCCCCTCCTCACTGTCTTTGTCCCCTGGCTCTTGATGTGTTTTCGTTCCACCGTCCATGCTCCACCACTGCCATCCAGTATACCCACCCAAGACCTAAAAACAATGGTGACAACAATCATAGACCAAAATCTTCAAAACTGTGAGCCAAAATAACCTTTTTCTCTTTATGTGTTGATTATTGCAATATTTTGCTACAGCTACACAAAGCTGACTAGCACAAAGACCAAATAGGAAGGTTTAAAAAAAAAAAAAAACTAGCCCAGGAGCAGATTACCCATGAATGTCAGAGCCAGGATTCCAACCCAGGTATTCTGATTTCAGATCCTGTGCTCAGCCAGACACCAGCTTCCCGGGGGCTACCAAATTCTGCACTGTTAGCAAGGACTGGCCCTGCAACCTAGTCAAATTTGGAAGGCACAAATCATAACATCACACCACTGTGGTGTGACTGGTGGGACAAGAGCAGTGAGTTCTATCATTCATCATTCATGCATCTTCTCTGGCTGATCCTAATTTTTTTTTTTTTCGAGACAGGGTATCACTATGTAGTTCAGGCTGGCCTCGAACTCATGGCAATCCTCCTGGCTCAGCCTCTCAAATGTTGGGATCACAGACATGCGTCACCATGCCCAGCAATCCTGATCTTCTGATGGGTAGTATCTCTAAGCAGTAGTTCTTTGGCCAAAGGCTGATGCAACTAAGAACTTCGCAAATTAAAACACAAGAAAACAGAAATAGGAAATGTCCAAATAAACTACATCTATTGCTTCATTTCATCAACTTTTGGATAAAAATCAGTTTTAGAGGTGCCATTCCTTATAGAATCACACTGGCACAAGTTCATTAGGTGATAATTACATTTTTTTTTCCTGCTCAAGAGCAAACTCTCTGGGATTCCACCTGCTAGACCCATCCTTTTTCATATAGTGAATATGAATGACCTTGGCCATTCCCCACAGTTCACACAGGTCCTTATCTATACAAATTATTTCCCTTCGGACTTCTAATGGGGTCTTGGGAACCATCCTTGCAGTCTTTTTTAAAAGAAAATCTGGATTGTTACTGCTCCAACACCACCAACTCTGCCTGTGAGTCACAGTTTATTTTTGCACTAACTTTTCACATCAGAACATCTCAGTTTCATCTGCCAATTCTTTAACATAGTTTGTATACAGATAGAGGAAATTTCTGCCATCCCTATTTATTAACGCTGGGCATTAAATCTCCCTTCTACTTAATCTTTCTTATCTTATATTTCATTTCAAAATAACTAATCACTTCAAATGTTCAATGGACTCTTAGTATGACACACACAAATATTTAGGCAGAGTAAGAGCTAAGCTGGACAGACTGGCAATAGTTAAAATCACCAACCAGCACTGGTGGGGTGCTAGGACATGGGGCTGTCACTGCTGAGCCCAGACAAATGGGTCATTTAGTGATACCGCAGTCTCATACACTGAGTACATGATGGGGTCTTAATCTCATCACCCCCAAGCTTACACACTGACATGGTCAATAACCCCAAGTGAATCCTTTTTTACGCCTCTAAGCTCCTATTTGTCCAGCAAAACTATGAAATAAGTATTAAGTTGTTTTACCCAGCTTGCAAACATTCATTCATTCTTTCATTTATTTTCTGTTCAAAGAATTCTTTTAAAGCATAAAATCCCTATGGAGGATTTCTTAACATGGTATAGCCCAGAGCTGGGTCCTGTGCCCAAGAAGGGTACATAGAAAGAGTGCTGTTCTGAACACATGCACAGATGCCTACAGAGTGTCATGGGACCAGCAAGCATTCATATGTGGCTGCCTGTGACCATAGCTGCTGCTTGTAAACCCTGAGCACATTGAGAAATGAGCCAAAGTCATTGCCCTCAACTACTCTAGCCTGCTGCAGAGTAGGCCCAGAACCCACACAGGGCAAAGCTACACATCATTACGGCCAGCATTTCTCTGGCCCTCCCTGACTGTGGCTGCCTAATTCAATTGACTAGAAACATCCCAAGGCTCCCTCTGGTCACCTTATTTTGAACACAACCAACCCAGATACTAAATATAAAAGAGGAACATCATGGAGACCAAACCTACATTTAAGAATTACAAGTGTATCCTTAAGGCTGATGTAAAGTGCCAGCAAATCCATCAGGTTTCCTCTGACCAGAATACAGGGTACCCAATTCTCAGTGTGTTATTCTATCCAGGGCCTCACCCTTATCACCATAGCAGACCCCAGTCCAGGGCAGGGAAGGTTCCTCTTGCCCACAAGGAGAAATCTGGAACACAGGCTACAGACTTTGGACCTCAGGCCAGCTCTGACCCTCTCATCTATTTCACTTGGCCCAGACAGTGTTTGTAAAAATTATACATTAGCTGCCAACTTGGAACTCAGCAGTTTCACATAAACATCCAGACCTCTGAGCCTCTCTTGAAAAAAATCAGACCTGGCAACACTGGACCCGGCATCCTAGATGCAACCAGAGCCTAGAACTGGTAAGCAACAGCCCCTTACTTCTTCCTAACACCTCTACATCACAGAGACCAAGTACCACTTGCCACATTCAAATTAAGACACAGGAATGTTTCTTGACCCTAGATCTCTATCAAAGCTGGGGAGAGGGCCTCTACTATCCAAGCAGGTCATAGACTTGAAAAAAAATGGGACAAACATTTTTCTGTGTGGATATCAAGAGTGTTGTGAACTTAGAGCTGGCTTCCTTCCCCTCCTTTACCTGTCTACTCCCTTACAGGCCTTTGAGTTTGTAGCCCTTGTCACTTCTTGGTCTATTGGCTAAGATCAAGTGAGTCTGTAATGCTTGGACTCCTGTCTTTAAAACACCTAATCTATTAAACATAGCCAGCAGCCAATGGTGGAAATTAAGAAAATGAAAGAATCCATTTCAACAGTTCACCCAGCTGTCATAGGTTAGAAGATACTGGCATGTGGAAAAGACCAATTAGGTGGGTGAGAAAATTGTTAAGCAGATACAATAATCCAGACCACCTAGCACTTCACAGAAACAATCACACATTGCACAAATCTGCTTAGAACACAGACTGCACCCCTCTGTGTTCAGAAAACATGGGATCTATGTATTATTTCCCCGATCCTCTTTGCTGTCCTATAACTCACCCTGCCCATTCTCTATCCACTATTTTTCCTGACATGATAATCCCAAAGAATCAGAAAGGGTATGCTGAGGGCACCAAGGAGTGCCCAGAGCAACACAAATACTTACATCACTGCTCTTGGGCCTCGCCAATGCCAGGCTGTCCCGGGCCAAGGCCACAATAACATTGCTTTTCTCTCCAGCCCAGTGCACCACCATCTGATTGTGGGAGTCATTCAGACTGACCTGAAAGAGACAAACACAGGAATCAGGAACCATGGTTAATGACAGCCATACACATTCAAAATCAAATCTCCCCTCCCCTGTCACTCAGAAACGCCAAGATTCTGACATGTAAAACACTGGGGCAGGATGGCCTATTCTCCCCACCGTGGATACTCTACCACACCCAAGTTCTCAAGAAGAAACACTAGTCCCCCGGTTACATTTGGTTATATTTTGTGTGTAGCTGGATTGTAGAAAATCTTCTCAGGATTTCATCCGCATAATCTATTCTTTTGCTTTATTTTCATTCATAGCATCAATCTCGTTACTCTGATCCTACTCCATGTGTGTGACATGCACTTGTAAGAATGTAAACTGAAACATCCCTCTTATTTAAAAAGAAAAAAGGAAAACTTCACCAGCAGTCAGGAAGGACAGGGAGAAGTGACAGAAGATAGTTATGAGCTCACAAGAGCAGCTGGACAGTGTGAACAGTGCCTGCCCCACATGCACAAAGCCCTGGGTAAAAAAAGAGAAAAAAGCAGTTGGAGAGAAGTAATGACTTCTATAGCAAAGTGGGATTACAAAGATTGATAAATGTTAATTGTATAATTCAAAATAGCTAGGAGAGAAGATTTCAAATGTTCTCAACACAAAGAAATGTAAATGTTTAAGATGATGAAGATGCCAATTACCTGGACATCCCAGTTACCTGATTGTTACACAGTGTATACATCTATTGAAATAGTACATTGTACCCCATAATTGTGTAATTATGTGCTAATAAAAATTACCTCAGGTAAAGAAATATTTTCCAGAAGTCAACAGAAATAACCTTTGGATTATTGCTAACAGTAGTTCCCAGACTTTTTGTAAACCAGTAAAATAAAAATAGATTAGGGGGCCAGGGATTTAGCTCAGTGGTTCCACTGCCTGTCTCGAAAGTGCAAGGTCCAGAGTTCGAGTCCCAGTACCAAAAAAAAAAAAAAAAAGATTAGGAAGGCCAACGGAGAATTGGATAGTGATTTCTAGTTGACAGGTAAAGACGTTAACAAAAACAGCCATGGTGTCAGAAGTTAACAAGCTATTTTCTCAGTTTTCCTCTAATTTACGAGGACACCACAGACTCACCAGGCTTTGTGGCTGCAAGATGAGGCCCTGGGATGGAGGGTGGTCAGGGCCACTACAGCCCTGGCCCCCACACAGTCATGTTTTCTTTCCCTATCTGGACCCAGACTGCATTCAAAGGACCCCAAAGTCGTAGAACAGTGATGGTGAACCTTTCAGAGCTTTCAATGATACAAACAGCCTGATAAGGCATACACGTCATGGGTTTGCTACCAGTGCCCTAGAAGATAGCAAACCCAGAGGACAGAAGGAGCTTGTGACTCTGAGAAGGTGATCCTCCGACCAGTAACACCTTGAACTTCTCAGAATCAGGAGATCTAGTTATACCACTGAGGTTTGGGGACTCATTTGTTAAAACTGAGGAAGGACATAATCTCAGAATAAAGGAAAGTTATTTTAGATGGCTATTTTGCCCTTTGGAAAAATAATTACATTATTTCCATTTTCCTTATTTCACCATTCCATCTGTTGGCTGTGCCACCTTGAACATATGCTCTTATTTCACTGTTCACTGATGGACACCAGTTCAAGGACAGGCACTTCAGGACACCTGAGTTATGCATTTCACCTCACCTGTATGGACAACAAATGGATGAGGATAGTAACAAACCTTATGGCAGCTGGTCCATAGCAGGACAAAGGTTCCAAATCGGGAGCATGTGCCATGGCTCTTTTTTGTGGGGGGTACCAGGGATGGAACTTGGGACCTTGTGATTGCGAGACAGGGAGCGGAACCACTGAGCTAAATCCCCAGTCCATGTGCCATCTCTTACTGAGCAATCTCAGAGATAAGCATAATCCACCAGCCACCTCAGTTACCTCAGGCAGTCTGGGCAGAAAAGTGAGCTTTTGGGACTCAGAGATGGCTCTTCAGGGTCAACCTGGACAGTATACCCCACCTCCCCCAGGACCAATTCTTGAACTAATGAAATTCAAGTCTGGACCAACCTACCCTTAGAGCGTCCTCTTAGCACAGCTCCAAAGCAGAAACCCCTCCCCCATACCTCCTTTTTCCATCCTTCCTTCCCTACCTCCCCGACCATGCCCTAACTTTCCCCACCTACTCCTTTGGGAGCTCTCAGATGTCACAAGAGGACAAACACCTGGGCCACAAATTTGGCAGCCAGATCAACCAAGGGACTAATCTATAATGACTCTGTTTTGCACTTTAAGCACCTGCATCTAATTTGATCCAGGATCCAAACTCTTTTGAAAAGCATTTGAAATAAGACCTCTTCAAAGAAAAAGACCCTTGATATTTTTTAGGAAAACATGCCATCCCAAAAAGTTACTTCTCATTCCTGATAGATAAGTCCAGGCAAGCATCAACAGAGATGCGCAAATAAAAATATATAAATTATTTAACCCAGGATGCTACCCGCAGAAAGCAGCTAAGGGAATCTCCCAAGGCTGCTGAAGCCTTCCTCCAACCTTCCTTCCCTTCCCCCTTTCTCCTTCCAGCTCAGGCTTTTGGGAAGAATCTGGAAGCATTTGTGGATCAGAAGCCCACTAGCACAGGCACCCTGGGAATTCAGGCTAAAGTCTTCTCCTCTACAAAACTATCCTCACCCTTGGAACCAAACGGGAATAAATAGAGAACTATGTAAAGGTCAGTACAATAAAGGATTAAGAACCTGCAAGAGCCACGTAAGTTCACTGGGGCCTGGGATGAAAAAGCCCACCAATGTCCAGCCTGGGCATCCTCAAAAGTGTGGTCAAAGCACCCCCTCTGGCAGGTAACAATCAGATGATGCTTTGAACAGGCTACAAAGGTTTCAGGGATCAGAGTGGGGAAGAGGTCTGAAAACAACTTGCTGGAAGTCTTTCTATGCAGAAGATATGAGATTTATGAGACCTCCTTCAATCATTCCAACGGGAGAAAGACGAGATGAGCACAAAGACAAGCTTCAAAACATCCAAAGGCTTTTTTTTAAATAAAGAAAGCCTGCAAAAGGCAAGCTTAGTGAAATACCTCTTTTTTAAAAAAAAGCCTTTTCTATTAGATGTCTGCGTTTTTCTAAAAGCAGACTGAAAAAGGGCAGGCTAGTGGAGGGAAAGAAAAATATCCTTGGCAAGAAACAGCATGTCTGAGGGCCACCAGGCACTCACACAAACTGTTCTGCTCCTTGCCTTGGCAAGAAGTCAGACACATCCTGGTCATGAGAATAACTCCCTGGTGAGTCAGGCTGATCTCCAGGGCAGCCCAGGTGCCCATCCCCCAGAGCACATGACCAGAATCAGTTGCAGGAATCAATGCATCCAGAGGATGACAGGAGATTAGCAGACCATCATTTTTATTGAGGCCAAGACATGCAATCTACTCTCTGGCTTCACCTTCCTCCTCTCCAATTCTAACCCCACAGTCTCAAGGGACCAAGAAACCAGCAACCCAGGGCAGCTCCTGTAACGAACAACAACCCACAGGTCCCCAGCTAGACCCTTTACTTAAAGAGGTGGTTTCCTGTTTGTTTGGGTCCCTTTCCCTTCCGGGGATTCCCCTCCTCCAGCCCTCCTCACCACCAGCCTGAGAGCAGCTGCAGGCCTCTAGATCTCTCAAGCTGTCCTCTCCCACTGTGGCCCCACACATCGATCCAGAAGACTTGGCCCTGGGAGGGCGTGGGAGGAGGTGGGAGTGTGTCTTTTCTAGGAATATAACCTTGACGTGCAGTCAGTTATAACCACAACCCCAGGGCATGAACAACCTTCCCTCTCCCATCTCTGACTCACAAGCTGGAGCTTGATAAATGAGACACAATTAATTGAAGCTATAAAGGTGGCAGCAGGGAGGAGCCCGGGGCCTCCTCCCAGAAGGTAAACATATCTCTGATCAGCAACTGCATCAGGAACCAAGGGCAGGGCCTGGGAGGTACTTCAGGGTTCTCAGAGGTTCACAGGCAGGTCGTTAAAACAATGCCTGGGGTTGCAGGTCTAGGATCAGAAGCATCTGAGAGACCCCACCCAGCCCTACTGATTCAAAAACCATCTAAATGGAGATCAGGAATAGGTATTTTTTAAAAAGACTCTAGGTATCTCTAGTGCTGCTTTTTTGGACAACAGTGAATCTAGTCCATTCCTCTCTTTCAGGCTAGACCTATGACTAAATTAGAGGGGCTAGAGTGACCCACTCTTTTTTGAGAAGGATGGGGAAGAATCTGTCTTTGGGGATTTGGTGTGGCTGTTAAGGCTTTATGTTGTACTGATACATGCTTCAGTGTGGATGAATCTCGAAAACAACATGCTAAGTGAAAGAAGACAAACACAAAACATCACATATTGCATGATTCCATTTATATGAATTATCCAGGACAGGTGAATCCACAGAGACAGAAAGTAGATTAGTGGTTGCCAGGGGAAAGGCAAGAGAAGGGAGTAACTGTAAGGGGTTTTCTTTAAGAGTGATAAAAATATTTTGGAACTATACAGAGCATATACATGTACTAAATTCCACTAAATTGTTCTCTTTACAATGGTTAATGTTATGTAAATTCCCCTTTTGCCACCTGTGTAGAACACTACACCTTTCAAGTATGGACCCAGTACCTAGGAACTCCCACTCTTAAGAGGTGCTTCTTTCATTTCATCTCATCTCATCTCCTGTCATCTCAAGCCCTCCGCTACCAATATATGCAGCTAGAATGAGTCATAGAGGCAGGCAGGCTGGGGATTGGGTCTCTGGCCAAAGCAATCCTTCAAAACACTGTCAGCAGCATCTGCAGAGCCATAGCATTAGCAGAAGCCCAGCTGTCCCCAGCTGGAGCGATGACCACAGGCTCAGGGCTGGCGTCCAATGTCCAATGCTAGCTCTCGGGAATCATCACCACTCACACCTTGACATACCTCCATCTTTATCAAACCTCACCTCCAACACCTAGTTGTCTCTCAGCTCCCCACCA